AGCTGTGGCCCGGGTGTGTGCCTGGGCGCTGGCCCACCACGGCTGGACGAGAGGGCCGCAGCGTCCCCACCAGACGACCCCACACCCTGGCACCCGGCCTGTGGGCAGACGGGGAGGCAGAGCAGAGCAGAGGAGCGTCCCGCCCGAGGCCACCCAGCTGAGGACCCCAACCTCTGTGCTCAAGGCCGGGCCCAAGGTCAGGGCCACGCTCCCAAACCCCGCTACACACACGTCCTCTGTGGCGGCTCAGGGCCAGCGGGAAGAGCAGGGCAAGGGAAGCCCGGGCACCACGCTCAGGCCGCAGTGCTGCGGTGACACCATCTGCCATTGCCTGTCCCCGTCTGTGCCTCCCAACACCAGGCACTCTCCACCCACGAGGCACCTTCTGAGGCCCTGGGGACAGCAGGGACAGGCGGAGGGGAGCCCGGGCCTGGAGCACAGGTACCCTGAAGGATGAGGACGCTGGTCAGAGAGGGGCCCAGGGCAGGGGCTGGCGGGGGGCAGTACCCAAGGGGTCGAGGAGCAGCCCGGAGGAGACCAGGGCAGCGCCCCAGGCGGCGGGCAGAGCCCAGAGCCCAGCAGCAGGGCCCAGGGGAAACAAGCCGCTGCTGGTGGGGTGGCCACAGGGTGAGGTGCCACAGGGTGGGGCGCCACAGGGCCACGCAGGGTGGGGGGTGCCACAGGGCCACGCAGGGTGGGGGTGCCACAGGGCCACGCAGGGTGGGGGTGCCACAGGGCCACACAGGGTGGGGTGCCACAGGGCCACACAGGGTGGGGGTGCCACAGGGCCACGCAGGGTGGGGCGCCACAGGGCCAGCAGGGTGGGGCGCCACAGGGCCACGCAGGGTGGGGCGCCACAGGGCCACGCAGGGTGGGGCGCCACAGGGCCACGCAGGGTGGGGCGCCACAGGGCCACGCAGGGTGGGGGTGCCACAGGGCCACGCAGGGTGGGGCGCCACAGGGCCACGCAGGGTGGGGCGCCACAGGGCCACGCAGGGTGGGGCGCCACAGGGCCAGCAGGGTGGGGCGCCACAGGGCCACGCAGGGTGGGGCGCCACAGGGCCACGCAGGGTGGGGCGCCACAGGGCCACGCAGGGTGGCACTCACTTTGGACAGCATGGCAGGAGGAGCTAGGATCCCTTCTAGGAGCCCCAGGAGGTACCTTGGGACAGCAGCAGGGGTGGCCCGTCAGGTCCTCCCCAGAGCTGACCGCTTCCCAGCAAGGACCCCCGGCTGCCCCCAGCCCCCTCTCCAGGCCTCTGAGGGTGGCAGCCTGGCGCCGGGAGCCCCCGGCCTTTCATCTCCCCTCCTCCGGGGCTGGGAATAATCAGGTGACGGGGACATGAATCATGGCTGGCCCTGTACATCTGCTGATCACATCTGCGGGTGGGTGTGGGCGCGAGCGTGTGCAGGAGCCTGTAGTGGGGTGCCCTGCAGGGGGACTCCACGCACCCCCACCCGCTGCGCTTCCAGAGAACAGGACGGTGGTGTGTGGTCCCAGGTCCCTGGCAACCCACGCCCCCAGACACACGGGCGCATGGCCAAGACCCACACACAGGTGGACGCCCAGATGGCACACAGGCCCGTCCCTCACACCCGGCCCCCTGGGGAGGCAGGCAACCTGCAGGCTGGGGTTTGGGGCCACCTAGAGCCCACGTTCTGGAACTGCCCGCATGGACCAGGAGGCGCTGCTGCCCGGCCCTGTCTCCCTCAGGGAGGCCACTGTGATCTGGTGAAGGCCCCTGATCTGCATGACTCTGGCTCACACGTGTAAAAGGCACAAGGTCAACCGGCAGCAGGATCAAGCTTCAGAGCTTAATGTGACGCTTTCAAATCAGGGTCAGCGCGTCCCCAACCAGAGGAGCGACTGCGCCAGGAGGCTCCTTCTCACCATGCTGCAGGGGCGAGGTGGGTGCTGACCGCCTGCGGGGACCCTGCTCTGCCCAGCAGGCAGGCCAGGGTCTCCTCCCTGCCCAGCGGACACTGGGGCTCAGAGCGTGTCCTGCAGGTCACACGAGGAGGCCGACAACGGAAAGGGCAGCACTGGGTGTGACCTGCACAGACCTCGCCACCCATGGTCAGCAAAGCGTGGCCGGCCCTGGACGGTCAGCGCTGGCCTGGCTGCACCTTGAACCTGAGGCTCTTCTCGAGGCCCGGCCCCTCCGCAGCACACTCAGCTGTCCCCTCCGGCTCCGGGCAGTGCGCTGGGTCTTGGAAGGTGCGCCCACCTCCTCGGGGACTGTCAACCCAGGGGCTCACCTCCGTGTGCCCTGTGACTCAATTTGCCCCTCCACCCACGCTTCCTTCAGCCCTGTGGTGCCCTCCTTCCGAGCTCCTTGCAGCAGACACGGCCCACCATGACCCTGCTTCTCACCTCCTCCCCAGCTAGAGACGCCCGCCACCTGGCTGAGGAAGCAGCCCTGCCCAGCCACCCCCACGCTGGTCTGTGTGCCAGCAGTAGACAGTCCCTGGCCCCAGAACATCTCGCGTTAAGCCAAAGACAAAACACGTTGCCAGACACGGTGGTACCCGACTGTGGGCCCAGCTACCTGGGAGGCTGGGGCAGGAGGATTGCAGGGTGGAGGCCAGCCTGGGCAACTTAGTGAGGCCCGGTCACAACACTAAAAATGAAAGGGCTGGGACATGGCTCAGCGGCAGAGCACCCCCAGGCTCCGTCCCTGGTACCAGGAAAAACGTTAAATGCCAGGAGACACGATTCTAAAACCACTCAGTGTGAGACGCCAGTGAGGAGTGAGAGTCCACAGATGCCCAGGACTAGCCGCTGTCCACACTTCCCGTCACCACGCCCACACGTTCCCCACACGTTCCCCACCCGGGGTGGCTCACAGCACCAGGCTTTCCCCTGAAAACCTCCCTGGAGCCTCCATTCCAGGGGTGCCCACGGAGCAGAGGCCCAGGCCCCGCACCCCCACAGTCCCCCACCCCCACGGCCCCGCACCCCCACAGCCTTGCCTCTCAGGAGCAGGGCTCTTACGGGCTCTGGTGCCACCGTGTCCACAAGGCACTGCCCTGGCCTGACCAGATGCTGGGGACACTACCTTAGCAGCAGCCTGAGGGCCACGGGATACACATCCCCACTGTCCCCGAAGTCCCTGCCTGTGCAGGAGCCTCCAGAGATGGAGGAGGGAGCCAAGGGGCCCTGGGGACCCTCCGGAAGGACCCGGCCCCGCCCCACCGGTCCAGCCCAGAGCTGCTGTTCCACGGCCCCCGACGGGTGACGTCGCACAGCAGTCACAGGGAGCCCACTGACCCGTGTCTCCTCACTGGCTGTGCATCAGAGTCACCAAGGAGGGTCACCCTGGGTCCCTCAGTCCCCTCCACACCATTAGAACCCAGAGATGGGGCACAGCCACCACCCCACAGCGGGCAGCCCTGTCCTCTCTGAGCCTCAGGGTCCCCATCTATAGAGTACCAGGGACAGTGCGTCCACCCCTGGTGACACGGCTGGGGGACAGTTCTCACCAGTGGACAGCAGTGGTCCATACTGTGAGCACTGCCACCGTGCGGGGGTGCGTGTGGCTGTTGTCACCTGCTCCCTGCTCGCCCTGGGACCTCAGGACAGTCACCCCAAGGTCCCATCTCCTCCAGGGCCTGGAGCCCTCCCGGCCTGGACGTCAGGCGCAGCCCGGCTCCACTGGCAGCCCCTGCCTGAGGCAGGACAGGCTCCGAGGCCGGCGGGCAGGGCCTGGTCAGCCGGGGAGTCCCCAGGTGCTTGGTCTCCGGCAAAGGGAGCCGGGGGGAGGGCGGCTGCCTGCGGGGAGGGCGGCCCTATGGGAGGCAGAAGCACCACCCAGCACACGACGTCCAGCGGGCTAGGGGGCCTCATGGGCCTCAGGACCACCCCTCTGAATGGCAGCTGCAGGCCAGGGGCGTCAGGAGGGCACAGCGGGCAGCAGGAGGGGCCTGGCTGGCGGTGGGCCTGCCTGGTGGGGCTCTGCCAGGAAGGTGTCCATGTCTGCTCGGCCCAGGGCGGCACCTGCGTCTCCCACCCAGCCCCAGGTCCCCAGGAGCCCAGCTCCGGCCCCACAACGTCCTTACCACCCCCAGGGTCCCAGAGAAGCCAGCACTTGCCCTCGGTGCCCACTGTGTCTGTTGAGGGGCGACGGCCAAAAGTTGAAGGCAGGAAGGAAAAGGGCCGACAGGAGTGGGGCCGAGGGGCAGCGAGAGTGACCCGTCCAGCCCCACCCTGCCCCGCACCCTGCCCGGCTGAAGGGGGAGAAAGGGAGAGGGGCAGCCCCAGGGCAGAGCGGGGTGGCCAGCGAACAGGGCGAGCAGAGCCCCGCCCCTGGACAGCTGGCCATGCAGGCCCCACATGCCACCAGGGCAGGGCCGGAAGCGAGAGGTGGCCGCCGGAGGAGAGGCTGCTCACCAGAGCCTGGACGCCTGCCTGGGGGGAGGGAAGGTTCTAGAAGAAACACAAACACTGTGGGGGGAGGAGAGGCTGGCAGGAGGCGGGGTCTGGGAGGTCAGGGCAGGCTGGCCGTGGCCCCCCAGGCTCTTCCGGCTGCCGGGAACTTGGGCAGAGACAGCGTCCAGGCATGGTGCCACGCCTGGGTCTCCCTGACACCCCTCCCCACCCAGCGTGGACTGGACAGCCCCCAAGACCGGGTGGCCCAGCAGGGGCCACTGGCTGGCTTCCCGAGTCCACTCTTCCCCATCCCCACTGCCCGCCTCAGAACCACCCAGGGGCCAGCTCCCAGGATGCCCCAGCTCTGCCCCCAGTGCCAAGGTGGGGCCTGGACCAACCGCCTGCCCCATGGGGCCTGTCCCCCACTGCAGTGGCTGCCCACTGCCCCCAGTCAAGCGCCCCAAGCAGCACATGGAGTGGGCAGCCCTGCTTCCGGCCCCTCCGCCTGGATGACGCCCCCACCCAGCTCTCCAGCCCGTGAGCAGCCCCCACAGAGTGGCTGCCGCCCCCGCCCCCCGCGCCTTCCGGGGCCACCTCCGCCAGGTCGCCAGGTCCCCTCCGAGGCCACCTTCGCTGTTCAGCTGCTGCAGATCCCTCCCTGGACAGACTCAGGTGACCTCTGCGCCAGACCCTGGCGTGGAGCTGCTGGGGACAGGCAGGCTCCTGCCCAGCCCCGGTGTCTCGCTCTGCAGGGGGGGTCAGCAGGCAGAGGCCCAGGGACCTGGTGGGGCAGGGGTCATAGGCTGTGGGCATGGTCCCCCGTCCCCAGGGTGCGTCCCAAGGCTGCAGAGGAATCCGTCTAAGCCACTCTCCCACCTCCGAGGACCCCCACGCCCCAGGCACAGAGCTCAGGGAGACTCAGGGTGTGGACTCCAGGGGTCACCGGCTCCTCCCTCCAGAGGCCCTTCCCTCCTCCCTACAGCTGTCCTGCTGGGGCGGCCTCGTCTGTCCAGCCAGTGGCCCTGCTCCCATCCCAGCAGAGCTTCCAGCCCCCAGCCACCTGCTCCGCAGCTGCTCCAGACCGCGCCTCCCGCCAACCCACCCTGTCCTCCGGAGGAGGCTGGGAGGCCCAGAGAGGCTGAGTCACACAGCTGGGCTGGGAGCCAGGCCGCGGCCTCCGAGGGCCTCACCCAGCTGGCCCTGGACATGGCCCTGCTGCTGGCCTGGCCTCCACTCTCGGCGGGGCGGGGCGGGGCGGGCCCAGCAGGGGAGGCCAGCAGTGGGCATGAGAGCCTCCTGGTGGAGCTGCCAGCCTCGGTCACGGTTTTACAGGGCAGTCCACTCTGCAGCAGGACCGCCCCCACCACGGGGCCAGCAGAGTGACCCTGGAGGAGCCAGCAGAGTGACCCTGGAGGAGCGTGTGTCCCCCTGGGCCTCGTGTCCCTCTCTGTGAGGGGCCTGAGTAGCTGCCACCACCCCTGGGGAACAAGCGAAGTGGCGTCTTTTCCGCCCGCCTGTCCCGGGCGCAGCCTCGAGGAGGAGCCGGGAAATCCGGAGGCGGCGCAGCCCCGGCGCCTGGGCCCAGGGAGGGGGCGCCGGCGCCCGGCACCGCCCAGATGCGCCAGGGCTGCCAGCATTCCTGGAAGGTAACGCAGCCGCCCGCGGCCAGATGTGCATCCCCAACAGCTGCCCTGCGCTCACAAGGTCAGCGCCTGGCTCCAGCCAGCCGCCGCCCCGCCCACCCGGCACCCCTAGGCGGCCGGCAGGAGGGGGCGAGGGCGGCAGCGGGTCCCCCTGGCTCCCAGGGTGCCTGCCCGCCCCCACCCGGAGGCCACGGTCACTTCTGGGGGCGTGGGGAGCAGGGAGCAGGTCGCCTGGCGCACGCCCCCCCCCTGCCCGCCTGGTGGGCGGCTCCGCCTCTTTCTCTGGAGGAAAGCTCCAGATGCGCTAATCCCCAGCTGGGCCAGATTTGCCGGCGGCTCCCCTCCTGCAGCCCAGAGCTCCCGCGGCTGCGGGTGGGGTGGTCTGGTCTCCACCTCCCCTCTCCCACCTGAGGGTCAAGGGCCAGCCAGGCCGCCCGCTTTGAGATGGGCCCGTTCCCAGGGAACGCAGGCACCTCTGAGCCCCGTCTTCCTGTCCCCTGGGAGTGATGAGAAGAGCTCATGGGCTGCAGCAGCTCAGCCACCTCCCTGCCACTCAGCCCGTCCTACTGCAAGTCCGCCTCCTGAGCTCAGAACAGCCCTCCCCACTGCTGGCTCACTCAGGAGACCCCAGGAGCTGGGACTGGAATCAATCCTCAGCCCAGACAAAGGAACTGAGGCCCAGAGCCCCCAGGTTAGTAGAGGCAGAATCATTCTTTTAAAATGACTGAAGCAGCCCAGAGAGGTAAAGTGGCTGGCCTAAGGTGGCACAGCACAGGAGAGGCAGGGTAAATGACGCCTGAGGGGCAGATCCAGGAGGAACGGCAGGCTTCAGAGGGTGGGCTCCGCCCCCCAGAGCAGCCCAGGCTTGTCAGAACGCAGACTCCTGGCCCTGGTCAGGCCTGAGGGAGCACAGTCCCTGCGGGGAGGCCTTGGAGTCTGCTCTGGGGCAGGTTTGAGCAGCCCCTCCTCGCTGCTGCCCACAGAGCCATCCTCGTGGCCCCTGCCCCGACAGAGCCTGGGCCGGCTGCAGGGGGCTCCCGGGTCCTCCTGGGAAGAGCCCACCCCAAGCCAGGCCCCGGGGCTGGGAGCGCAGCCTCCCCTGGGCTGGTCCAGCTCGGAACCGCCCGGAGAGTCCGACAGATGGACGCCTCTTCCTAACAAGTCCCCGTCAGTCCACCTGCCCGCACCCCACCATCCCACCACACACACAGACGCGCCACACACACGCAGGCACACAGCCCTGGCGACAGCCCCCGACACGTGAGCACACGTGAGCACACGCAGACACGGCGATCACGTGGGCGTCAGGGCAGCTCCCCCCCAGGAGAGGTCTCTCAACACCCCCGGACATCCCAGATGGGCGGGGCACCTCCACTGAGGACCTGCCTGGCTTCAGGTCACTGTCCCTTGCTTCTGGACCTGGAGGAGTGGACGGCCGACTGGCCGATGCGAAGGCCTGGCGGATGGGGGGACATGGGCTCTGGGGTGGGAGGGCAGCACTGGGGCAGCCTGGCGCTACCCTGAGAGTGACCCTGGGTGGGGGACCGTCAGGGCTGGCCGCCCCAGCAGGCCACTGTAACCTGTGAGAAGGTCCGCCTGCCTCCCCTGCCACAGCCGGGCGTCCCTGCCACACGCGTCCTACGCGGACGGGTCCCTGCACTGCCCACGCCTGCAGCTGGGGCCCCAGGAGGCGCTGGACAGGAGGGAGCCCTCTGCGGTGGAGGCCTTCAGGGAGGCCCGCAGCTGAAGAGCCACACGCAGTGGCCTCTGCAGGGGCAGGGGACGCACTGCCCAGGTCAGAGCCCAGGCCACTGCCTTCTCTTTCCCGATGCCCTAGGAGTGGGCCTCCTGAGGCCATGTGGCAGGACAGTGGCCTGGGCTCTGCTCCACTCCTGAGCAGGACGCAGCACCAGGGAGCGCTCATGATCCTGCGTCTCTGGACACTCACTCCGCCCACCAGGAGCCTGTCCACCACCCATCTGAGATGTCCAAGTCAGGGTCCTCCTGGTCACCTGAGTTTCATCCTTCCCAGGGAAGGCTGGGAACAAGGGAGTCAGTGACAAATGGCCAGTGACATTCCCAAACTCAGCACTGGCCTTCCCCGAGTGGCCCGGGAAGAGGTCGAGCTGAGCTTCCGGATCTTCTCGGGGTTCAGAAGGCGGCTCCCGGGAAGGTGCTGCAGAGGTCCCGGTTCCTCTGTCACCTGAGACGAGCATCTCCTGCCAGGGGTCACCCAAAGCAGGTGCCCACCACGCTCTGCCACTCGAAGCCACCCTCGCCTGGCCTGGCAAGGTCCCAGGGGCCAGCACCCCCGGTCCAGCAGCAGAGGGCGAGGCCCAGCAGTGGCCTCCCAGGCCGCAGACGGAGCTGCAGAGACCCGCGGCAGCCGTCCCCAACAGGCCTGAGACCAGCTCCAGGGCTGTCCCTCGAGCTCCCCCATGCTGCCTTCTACGTCTTCGAAGGTGACAGGTGGCATCTTATGCTGGAGGATGGCAGCGCTACGGGGGGCACGCAGACAGGGAGCCGCAGGGCGCAGAGGACGGGGCAGGGCCGGGCAGCTACAAGCCCTGGCAGCCTGCTGACCGAGACCCGAGTCACAGAGGAAGGCCACATCCACCCGGCCATGCCCATGAGTCACCCACTCACCCTCCCCTTTCACGCCCTGTGCCCCCTCAGGCCCACCCCAGATCTAACCGCATCAGATCCTCCAGGCTCGGGGGGCTGTCAATCAACACCCCCCGCCCCGGGGCCTGGCACACCCTAGACTGGCCAATCAGCACTGGCCTGGGCGTTAGCTGGGAACCTCTGTCCCTCCCCAGAGTCACCTAGAATGGCTGCTGGCTGTCCCTGATACCACGTGGGGGGCAGCTCCTGGAGAAGGAGCCCCTCGGGAGGACACAGAGGCAGGGGCCTGGGGTGTCCGGGAGCCCCGGGTCCCGAGGGCTGCAGCCAGTCTCGGCCTCCAGAGAGGCCACAGAGCTCCCTCCTGCTGGAGCCAGCTGAAGTGGGCCTGGTCATCGTGAGCAGAGGGCCCCAGGGGACACGGCCCTGCAGGACGCACAGGAGACTCGGAGCTGTGGCAGCTCAGCCCACAGCCACACGCAGGCACGCCAGGCACGTCACCTGTCCTCACTGCCACCGCCGACCCCAGCTGGAGAGGCGCAGCCAGGCCACAGGGCCTGGGCTCCAGAGGCCGTCCCCAGCCTCAGTTTCCCATCTGTAAATGGGGTCAGCAGCTCCTCCAGAGCAGGTCACTGGGAGGCTCGGCCGGGGACACTCCCGGCCACCCTCGCAGTGGCCACACGGCCCAGCCTGGCCCGGGCGTCTGAGGTCAGGTACACGCGCTCTCAGGCCTGCTCTTACAGATGGCGGGCACCCACCCTGGACAAGTGGACCCCGGTCTGCTCATCTTTCTGGGGACACTTCCTTCCCCAAAGAGGAAAGGACAGGCAAAGCCTCTGCCCTCCTGTCCTGCTCCTGGAGGCTGTCACGCGAGAATGTGATGCTCGGCGCTACGGCAGCTATCTTGCAACCCTGAGAAAACGGCATTTGGATTTGCTTTGCTTTAAGGAGAAGGCCCTTTTCTGTCGGCTTGTGGTTGCAGGCTGCACTTTAACTTCCAAAGCAGTTAAGAGCAGGGATTCTGGCCCCGGCTGCCTGTGTGACCTCAAGGCAAGTTACTTAACTTCTCTGTGCCTTAGTTCCCTTTTCTATTAAACAGGAATGATTTTCCTTATTTTATTTTATCGATCTTTTTTAAAATAGATGACAGCAGAATGCGTTACAATTTATATTACACACGTAGAGCACCATTTTTTCCTACCTCTGGTTGTATATAAAGTCTGTTCACACCAACTCGTGTCTCCGTACGTGTACACGGACAGGGATGTCCACCACGTTCCACCGTCCTTGCTGACCCCCTGTCCCCGCCCTTCCCCAGACAGGATAACGTTGAGGAGCATTAACTGAACGGTTTGGTACACATGGAAACACTCAGCACAGCGCTTGGCGCACAGACAGGGTCACCTCAGCCAGCGCAGTCAGAGAGCGCGGGGTGCGAGGGAGCAGAGGGCAGCCAGGGAGGGGCGCCTGGCGGGATGGACGGCGCCCAGGCCCCAGGAGCTGGTCAGGCCACGAGCTGCGCCCGGCCTTGGCAGCGTTGGGGCTGCGGGGACTCCCTCCCTCCGCCCTGCCAAGCTGGCCGCTGGCCCCAGCCCGTGGCTGCCCGCAAGGAGGGTGGCCGGGACAGCGTCCTCCTCCCACCGGCCAGGCTGGGCGCCCCCTCAGCCTGGGCCCTGCAGCTGCACCCCTGCCCCTCAGTCCAGCCGCCCCAGCTGGGTGGGAAGGCAGGACGCGCCTCCCAGCCTCCAGGGCCACGCAGGGGAGGCCGGGCCACAGCCTCAACACCTCGCGGGGCTCTCTCTGGACACAAGCACAGTCACCTCTGTCCCCTCCTCACCTCAAGGCCACCAGGCAGGGCACGGCGCCCGCCACGCCCGCCCACGTGGTCCCGGAGTATCTGGGGGCCCGGCAAGCTGGGGCACCAAGATGGAGCGCTGCTCACCGCACCCCGCCTGTCCCCAGGCCCCCAGATGGAGCAGTGTCCCTTTACAGGTGGGACACCCAGGCTCAGGGCTGGGTCTCTGCCCAGGTCACCCCAGGTCCATGGGGCACCCTCTTCCTGCCGGGAGTCCGGTGGCACAGCAGGCGGTTTGGTGCGGGTGGACATGGGTGCCGTGTGCCTGGACCTGCGCCACGAGGATCCGTCCAAACCTGACAAGCACCAGGCCACCTCCTCCCTGTCACCAAGGAGAAACTGAGACCAGGGGCTGGATGCTTTGGCCGGGAGTCCCCAGCAGTCACCCACGTGTCCTTTGTCACATTTACTTTGTCACCTACTTTTCCTTAAATCAACTATTTCTCGAGCTGAAATACACTTGAACGCAGGAGGAGGGACGTCGGCGTCACTCCACAGAGCAGAGGACGCGGAGGGCGGCAGCGCCTCCACCGCAGCCAGGCACTGCCACGGCGCCCTGTCCCGCTGCGGGCCAGCAGTGTGGCTTTGCAGATGCCCACTCCTCAGGGTGGCTCCTGGGCCAGGTGGGGACTGTGCCCCAGGGAGCAGGCCCAAGGGGACTTGGGGACTCTGAGAGTTGTGGCTTCAGAGCGCCGGCCACTGCAGCCCAGGAAGCAGCTGAGCCCCACGGGAGATCCCAGGGCGCGTGGGAGGGGCCCTCCTGCTGCCCACAGCAGAAGGCTGCCTCCAGACGACACCCAGCCCAGGACGCGTGACACAGCCTCAAAGGAGACCTGAGCCGGAGCCATCAGCAAGCTGCTCCCGGGTCTCTGGGCCACGGAGCCACGAGGTCCCCGTGACGAGCTGCAGTGCTTGGGTGTCCGGTCACACACCAGGAGGGGCCCGGCCAGCGCTGGGGCGGCAGAGGCTCTGGAGTCCTCAAGGCCAAGGCACCTGGGGGAACGGGCGCATCCCGCCACGGGCTGCCCGGCGGCCTCTCTCTCTCCACAGGGATGGCGGGGGCTGCCGGTCTGGCCACCGCTCCCCAGGGACCCCCCGGCTCCTATTCCCACCGAGAGTCCCTCCATGCCCATGCCCGCCAGCCCTGCCCCTCCCGGGCCTCCCCCGCGCCCCTCCACCACCCAGACCCTGCCCACCTCAGGCCTCTGCACACCAGGGCTCTGTCCTCTCCACTGCGGACGCTCCTGTGCTGGCCTGGCCTGCCTCACGCTGACCCCCTGACCGGTCAGTCTACCCAGGGCCTCTGTCCCTCAGTGTCCCCAGCCCTCCTGGCTTTGCTCCAGGCCACACAACTCTGGACGCCCCCATGTCCCCCCTCGTGGCCGCTGCCCCACCAGGAGGCGAGCTGGACGGGGTGCGTGGGCAGTGAGCTCCGGGGCATCTCCACTCCCCGGAACAGCACGCAGCGCACAGTAGGTGTTCAGGAACCTTCTGAAGTGAACACAGGGAGGAGGGGCTCCAGGTGCAGGGCGGCAGGGCCGGGCAGCCGAACCCGAGCCCACCGAGCTCATCTGCAGAGCCTCAGGCCAAACCCAGATGCCACCGCGCCTCAGCTGCCAGCCAGACCCCGTTAGCGTCTGGCTCCAGGGTCCCTCCCCCCCGCCCCTGGCTCTCGGCTCCTTTGTTCTCTCCCAGCGTCCAGGGAGGAGGCCCTGGTCCTCCCAGGCACCACCCAGGCCTCTGAGCTGTGCGGGGGTGAGGGCTATCTGCCCCAGAGTGTCCAAGGACACTGCTGGCCACAGACGCAGGGCCCCCCCCCCAGCCCCGGGCGTGAGGAGGATGCGCGCTGGACGCGGTCCCACGGGCACCTCAGATGCAGGAGATGAGGGGATTTAGGTGAGATCTGAAGCCCCCCTGGGACTTCCTAGATCCCAACAAACAGGGCTGGCGTGAGTCCCCGCCCTCCCCCAGGTCACCAGGAAAACACAAACTGCTCTGCAGACACTCTTGGGGACCCGCGGGGCGCGGCCATTCGCAGCCATTCGACTTCCACGCTCCTTTCTGCTCACCAAGGAGGGGGACGGACAGCTCCGGGGCTGGATGGCTGTGGCCGGGCAGGCGACCCAGCGGGTGTCCCCAGGAGAGCCATCTCCCCGCAGTTCTGACGGAGGGCGACCAGCCAGGCCGGGAGTGGGTCCTGTGGTCTGGCTCCCGGCGTCCTCTGTGCCCAGTGAGGCTCCAGGCACCACGAGCTCTGCACCAGGGTGGGAAGGGCACCAGAGGGTGCCCCAGAGACTTGCTCACTGTGAGCCAGGTGGCCGGGGTGGCCCGCGGCCCTGCCTTTGGCCCAACCCAGAACCCCGCACTCCTCAAGGCACAGACAGCCACATGCCACCCCGTGTGCCCCATACACACACGCTACGTGTGAACAGGGTGTGCCTATGGACACGCTGTCCCCGAGGCTCGAGGCCCAGGGCAGAGTCTAATGCAGGATGAGGCCGGGTGCCCCCCCAGGACGCAGACAGCAGAGGGGCCAACAGTGGCCAGAGCTGTCCCCCGCCAGCATGGACATGGACAGAGACAGAGAGAGGGGCGTCCCTTCTCTCCCCCAGGTCCGTCCCCAGCCAGGCTGGCTGCGGCCCTTCCCTCCTTCCCTGAGGCCATCCTGCTGGTCACGGGTGACCCTGTGGGGCGGCACCGGGAGGGGTGGCTGAGTCAGCTCCCGGATCAGCCAGAGGCCCGGTCTCTCCACAGAGGAGAAAAAACGGGCTCCAAGTGGCCTGACGTGGGTCTGGCCCCCTGCCCAGGCAGAGCTGGCGTGCCACGGGCACCCTGCCGCGGTGCCGGGGTGGCTGGGGCCGCACCCTGCAGGGCCGGCAGCTTCCGTTCCGACGGGGTGATCGGCAGAGCTGGCTCCTGTCATAAAGCCCCACTGCTCAGGTGGCCACGCAGCGTGGACAGCTCATGCTGCCCCACAGGGGAGGTGGGTGAGGGGCCGCCTGGCTGGGGCCTGGGCGGGCTGGGAGGCCGCTGTCACCTGGCAGGGGACGTTCATCCCCTGAGGGTTGGGGACGCAGCTCACCCTGTTCACGCCTACTGTGTGTACACGTGTGCACACGGGGGTGGCACGTGTGCTGTCTGTGCAGCCGTGCGCGTGTACGAGCAGCGAATGCACATGTGGGGGTGTGCGTGGGGCGGTGCGCGTGTGCGAGAGGCGGTGTGCCGTGGGCACCAGGCACAGCTGACCAGCGGCTGACCTCCACAGCAAGCTCACGACACAGCGGGGCTCCTGGCCAGAGCCCAGCCACCTGCCCAGCACAGGAGGGACAGCTGCAGATGCCGCCCGTGACCAGGGCTGCCTCTGAGCCGGGATGAGGCTCTTGACCTGGTGTCTGCCCTGCTCCAGGACTTTATGGTTGGGGTCTGGTTTTCCCAGCCACAGCGTCACAGAGAGGGGACAGGGGAGGACATTGAAGGCCACAAAGGCTTGGCCATACTCCATGGGCCTTGCAGGGTGGAGTTGGGGGAAAAGCAGGACAGGAGGGAGGGACAGGGGACAGGGGACAGGGGACAGGACAGGGGACAGGGGACAGGACAGGGGCAGGGGCAGGGGACAGGACAGGGGCGGGGCGGGGGACAGGACAGGGGCAGGGGCGGGGGACAGGACAGGGGCAGGGGACAGGACAGGGGCAGGGGACAGGACAGGGGACAGGACAGGGGCAGGGGACAGGGGACAGGACAGGGGCAGGGGCGGGGGACAGGACAGGGGCAGGGGCGGGGACAGGGCAGTGGCAGGGGCGGGGGACAGGACAGGGGCGGGGGACAGGACAGGGGCGGGGACAGGGCAGTGGCAGGGGACAGGGGACAGGACAGGGGCAGGGGTGGGGGACAGGGCAGGGGCAGGGGACAGGACAGGGGCAGGGGACAGGACAGGGGCAGGGGACAGGACAGGGGCAGGGGACAGGGGACAGGACAGGGGCAGGGGCGGGGGACAGGGCAGGGGCAGGGGTGGGGGACAGGACAGGGGCGGGGGACAGGACAGGGGCAGGGGCGGGGACAGGGCAGTGGCAGGGAACAGGGTAGAGCAGCGGCAGAGGACAGGGCAGGGCAGGGCAGGGGCAGTAGCTGGGCTGGGAGAAAGACAGACGCCCGGAGGCAGAGGCCAGAGGCCGGCGGTGCGAGGCGCGGGGCCGCGGAGACGCAGAGACGCCCTGGAGAGGCGCGGCAGGGCGGCCAGGAGAAGGCTCTGGAAGCCTGTGTGTGGCGGCTGGGCTCAGGGGGGGAGAGGCGCTCTGACGCCCGAGTCATTCAGAG